TCGTGTTTATTGAATAATTCTTCCCTCAATGGCGTCGAACTTAAAATTTCCGAATGTTTTTCCCTTATATTTCTTTTTATAGCCTCTGTCTGATTTGTGGGATAGGTGAAAATATCACTGTTATCCAATATTGGAACGTCATAAGTTGTCTGCGTTGTCTCAATTGACCTTTCATCGTGCTGCTGGATGGAGGTGGCGTTGTCGTGTTTTCTCGAAGATGCTAGGCTGATAAGGAAAAATACCAGCAGCTTTAAAGCCATTAACCCCTTTATCAACAGTTGCCACTTTTTGGTAGGCGGTACCAAATAACTCGGCCATTTCATACACAGTGATTCTTTTACCAGCATTGGATTTCATCCAGTATATGCACACTGATTGTTAAATTCGGTTTTTAAAGGCCCAAAAAATACTCTGTCCAAAGGTTGTGTTCTATGAGACGTATGAGGGGGCAAAGACACCATATCTATGCCATGCTCTTTAGCCAAGTCAAATACTAGAAGACAAATGTGTCTCTCATGATTATGTAAAATGAGGCATACCCTATGAGATTTAGAAGGTCTAACTGTCTCTATGAAATGTTGCATCCATTTGGTGAAGATTTCAGAGTTGCTCCAACCATTTGAGCTAGCGAAGCCTTTCGAACCAGGAGGAGCATTTTTTGTGAGTCGGTCATTCATGTTTTTCCTAGGGAACACGTTGAAAGGTGGAACATAGTTTCCAGCAGCACTGAAACAACAAATAACAGTGACGGTATCTCCTCTTTCTGCACTGGTGATCTTGCCTATTTGCTTATTTAACACCTTTTGGCGCCAATATTTTAGAATGTTTATGTACGGTCTGTAAGCCGCTTTCATCGACATTATAAATGTCACTGGCAGCGTAGTTATTTTTTTCATACACGAGGGATAGGTTGTCGAAAAATCTGCCAATTTCTGCCTTGTTGAAACCAACAACTCTGCTCAAACTTGTAGCTTCGGGTGTTCTTAATGATATTTCAGGATGATTTTTCTTGAAATTACAGTAAAAACCCCAACCTGCAATTTCTTCATTTTTTTTTTCTGTTTTTCATTCGATGCTCAACACCTAATTTTTTGGCAAACTTAAATGCCAACTTTCGGAAATCCGTAATAGGTACTCTGTGAGAGTTTTAAACAATATTCTGCCAGCTGATTTTCTTGCTCGCGATTAAAAGTAGGTTTTCTGCCTACCACCTATGGTATCACAGAGGTATTAGTAGAATTCCGGCACCTTTTTCTAACATGGTCTTTGATCGTCGTGTACGGAATTCCATAGACTTTACTAGCTTGATTCACATTCAATTTGTTTGATGTGACATCTTGGACAGCTTTTCTAAGGTCTGCTAACTCCCATTGACTTCTAACGTTTTGTTTCGTGTACGTTCGTGGCATCTGGACCACAAGGACATAAATTAATTTTAACTAGGATTGCACTAACTCTAATAGGGTACTTACGATCCTGATGTTCACATTGACAATTGGTAATGCACTGATCGGTGTTCCTCTAACTTCCTTCTTGGGCAATAAAGCTATGTTGCCAAGAGTCACAGGTGTCCGAAAAATTGAATCTGCGCTATTTCCCGGACTGCGCTAATACCCCCACCTCTCCTACATACAATTTTGAAACTTATTCGGATCAATATTATTGTTCCGGATTACGCTGATCTATCTGAAACTCACTTTTATTGATTGATTTGAGAAGGCCGCATGTAGGCGCACATATGGCCCATTATGCCATCCCTATTTTAGTGGAGCCCTGTCTTGTCTTGGGATCCCGCGGCGCAGCCTTCAGGAAACGCGCTGACCCGCTATGGTATGGTTTCATTTCTTAGTGAAACATCTGAGTCTGCTATTGACGAGAAAGTCGCCTTCACAGACTATAGGCTTGGCAGTTCTACTTGGCTGCAGAGCCTCATTGAAGTGTATAGGACCTTGTATGAAGACTCTCGACTGAGGCTTCATTGTTTCAGCAATTCCTCATGGAACTAGTTGTTGGTTCAGTTCCTGATCTTGGCTTTCACCAGACAGAATGCGACCCCTGTAACCCGGCGGTACCCAGACTAGGGTGACCTTGTCGAGCCCACTGAGAGTTTTTCATGCAGTCAAGCGTGAGCCTTGAGTTGACCGATTCTGGAGGAAAGAGCCGGAAGTGCTGCCTGGCTGTTTCTGCATTTATAAATGTATTTGCCCGAGTAACCTTTCCGGACAGCACACCAATATAGCGTAGATATACGGTATATATGGTACGTTGAGTATCGATCCAGTGCAAGACATATTCGCGCTCAGGTCGCTCCATATACATACCAGTCCCTACAGTTCCGTGCACCAGATGAGTCCCTTCGGACTGAGGAAGCCTGGACCACGCTCTAGCCAGTCGATTCTTGTAGGAATAATGAAAGACCTTTTATCTTCGAGGGGGGTTGACGTTGTTGGCATTGCATCTCTTTCAGTGAAAAGGGGATCCCGTCTGATAGTATCAGTTCAGGCCCTTGCATGCCCTAACACTGATAAAAAGGAGATCTTGATAAAAAGCAAATCGAAATTGGATTAAGATCTCCATGGGTTTATATATGTACAGGGTGTCCGGTAAGTATATGGCATACTCTCGGGAGTGTATAGGAGGGGTCAAAATAACCCTACTTTGTTATAAAAAAAAATTCCTAAAGTGCCCCTGAACGGAGATATAGAGCCCCAAAAGAGTACTTGGCGATTCACATTTTTGGCTGTAACTTTTGAACCGACTTGTATAATTTAATGAAGTTTTAATATTTTATGTTAGCCATAAAGGCTCATAAAACCATACTACAGCAGATGTTTCACATAGTCTGGGAAGTCAGGAACGGACTTGCCTCTATATTCATTGTGCCAAATTTTTGACAGGAGTCATTTTACAGAGCTGAAAACTGATTTTTTAAATACTTTGGTCATTTTTCTTCAAAAAAAGGTGCTCTACATTTGTTTCGATTAAATCAGCCGTTTCCGAAAAAATTAGGATTTTGTATAACACGTCTAATCATTTACCTTCAAAATTTATTTTAAATAATCAAGTTGATCCTAGATAAGAAAAACAGGTAGAAATTGACTTATAAAAAGTACCTTTTTTGGCAAAAAGGTTTGGTTTTAGGTACTTTTTATAAGTCAACTTCTACCTGTTTTTCTAACTCTAGGATAAACTTGATTATTAAATGAATTTCGAATGTAAATGATTAAAAGTGTTATACAAAATCCTATTTTTTTTCGGAAACGGCTGATTTAATCGAAACAAATGTAGAGCACCTTTTTTGAAGAGAAATGAGCAAAGTATTTAAAAAATCAGTTTTCAGCTCTGTAAAATGACTCCTGTCAAAAATTTGGCAAAATGTATATGGTGGCAAGTCCGTTCCTGACTTCCCAGACTATGTGAAACATCTACTGTAGTATGGTTTTATGAGTCTTTATGGCCAACATAAAAAATTAAAACTTCATTAAATTATACAAGTCGGTTCAGAAGTTAGAGCGAAAAATGTTAATCGCCAAGTACTCTTTTGGGGCTCTGTATCTCGGTTAAGGGGCACTTTAAGATTTTTTTTTATAACAAAGTAGGGTTATTTTGACCCCTCCTATACGCTCCCGAGAGTATGCCATATACTTACCGGACACCCTGTATATTCAAATAAATGGTTTCTTGACTGAAGACAGCCATAATCTTGGAATCCCATTACATAAATTTAAGGATCGACTCTTAATTTAAAATCGCCAGAATTGGTGCGTATGCGTAGTTAGTATCTTATTCCAAAGTAGTATCCTTTGATTTAAAATAACTTATGTGTTTAGACCAAAATCAATATTCTAGGATTAAAGATTAGTGTCCAACGTTTTTGCTTTGAGATAATGATTTCCTTTATTCAAGAAATAATTATCTTCAATCAAATATCTTATTAGTTATTACCTCTATTTAAATTCCAGTATATAAGAACAATAAATTAGAGTGTTGGTTTATTTTTCTTCTGATAAAATTCAGATAATTTCCTTAGTTTTGTCAAAATGCCATATAGATTAAATTCATATTAATATGAAAAGGTTCGGTTGAGAGGGTAGTCAGAAACAGGAAAATACCCGTGACGTATACACTCGATTGACCTACGAATTGAGAACCATAGGAAAATATACAAAACTGTAGGATTATCCAAAAACTGTACATAGGATTGAATTCATACTAATATGGAAAGGTTGTGGGGGTAGTCAGAAACAGGAAAATACCAGTGGCGTACACTTGATCGGCCTACGAATGGAGAACCATACGAAAATATAAAAAACTGTATGATTATTCAAAAACTGTACTTTCAAGAATAACATGGATTCATGACGGTGGTATTCCCTATTCCGAAGCATTCTGCGGCGAAGGAGTTATTATAAAATGCTTCTTCGAGGTCTAGAGTTACGCCCAGAGACAACTCTTTGTGAAACATCCCTCGCTGCTCTCTTATCAGAAGGCTGTGAAGAGCCGTCCCAGTTGACATGGCGATCTTGTAGGCATGTTGATTTGGATACATGGGCTTTGTTTTCGATGCCCAATCCCTAATGAATATGTCCACCATTATTTTCTTCAGCGATCTTGTGGTTGGCCATATGCAAGGCAGGTCCTGAAGAGGCTTTTCCGTAAACTTTTTGTATAAAAGTGTCGGTGACAAACTTATAAAACATCAATAAAGCAGCTCTAGAACGATCGAATTATAAAATAGCTTCTCTGTTTCAGTAATCAGTATAAAAATTCTACTTTCAAAACCTTATCTAATAAGGTAAGATTGATATAATGTATGTAAATTAATACCTAATTACTTAAATAATTCTGGGTATAGGTAGGTTTGCAAGTTTGGTAAAACGGTAAAACAATATTACCTATATTTTACTTGAGCTCTAAATACGCAGCCTCCAACGAAGGTGAGTAATTGGTACCCAGAGCGGTGTAGTAAATTTACAATAAAATCCGCCTCAGTTAATAGAACAAATTGACCCAATTATATAAAATTGTCTAAAGGTCGTATTCATTTATTTCGGTAGATTTTGTTGAGTGAAGACAACTTATTGGATAGTGCAAATGAATGTGAACCCTGAAAAAAAACGTGTTTCTTGTAGGCTTATAGCTCATCAGGATAGTGGCAGAGTTCGGTATGTAAACATTCTTTAGAGGTACATAATTAAATTATGATTTAATATTCATCTTACTCAATTTTTCAACCTGAATTTGAACGGGTATGGGTCGTTAACATGGCATCTCCGGCTCAATCACAAAACTCCCAAAATTTAAATAGAACACCCCCTATTTCGCTTAAATTTCATCATTTTTCCATCTTGTAAACTTTCTGTAGGGTTTTCAATTTTACCTTTGGAAAATTTGAAAAATGAAAAAGAAATTGTTTAGTGTTTTTTTTTCAAATAGAAACATTTTTTATTAATCTAAACCATACTCTGAATCAGACGGTCTCTGTAAACAATCACCTGGTCCTAGTACTGAAAAAACCCATTTACCTGTTCTTTTTTTTTTAGATGGTGTGTGGGTCAAGAAAGAAAATGGCAAAAAGTTTTGAAACGATTAGCACTTGTACCATTAATTCTCCTGCCTGTGGTTATAGTTGTAATTCTCGTCGCAAAACACACTTTTGGAGGCAAAGGAAGTAAGCAATTAATCTTAAAAATACCTAGTTAATTTGACTTACAAAGAAATAAATAATCTGTTTTGTTTTCAGACACCAACTCGCAAAACTTTTTCGCTGAAATAAGCAACGTTACGTTAAGCGAACAGATCTAGACAAAAGGCCGTAAAAAGATACATTATCAGAACAAAGATTTTTGCACCTTTTTCAAACGTTGTTATACTTAAAACTTCACTCACAAACTTTATCCGTATAGGAATCATTTTTAGAAACTGAGAACAACAGAAAATACCTAACTCAATTTACTGTATGAGAATCCCAACATATTTTCACAGACAATTTTAAGTTTTTCTTGAAAGAGATCTACACAAACAGCAAAAGATGAAAAACTGTTGCGAATTATTTTTAGAGGGAGAATACAAATTTAAATTGTAAATAAGAAAAGCAAACTGCATAAGAAAAGTTCGTTGGTCAATTTTGAACAAAGAAATCGATAAAAATGTTCACAAGCACTTTTTACACAACAACGAATAATATCGAAAAACGCCCAAGCGTAAAATGTATCATCTAAAAAATACACAACTAAAAAATTTCAATGTAGGTATCTTTTCAGGCCAGGAAAGCATCCTCCAAAAAATGTAGATATTAATTAGATAATGATACGTATATAAATTATTTAAAAATAAAATATGTAATTAAAGTGTTTCAGTTTTAAATAGGCACCTACAGAAGCTGCTTTACTGTGAAAATAATTTTTGCAATAAATCACAAATTTCACGAATTGGTAGTAGATTACCTCAATATTAGGCTTTATTCGACAAAAACTGACAATATCAATAATGTTAATTTTGTTATAATCCCACCGCTGTCACCAATGTTATAATCTTGGATCATAAAGGGACTTGCACCTATTTTGAACAAGGACTTAACTAAACAGATGGTGGAATTTTTTAAAGAGGAAATGTAGTGGACATTAATAATAATAATAAAATATAATAATGAATTTACTGGTTCACAACACCTCCCCTTTTATTTTGAGAAGATATTTTATATACCGTAAGTGTAATAAAATCGAAAATTATAATTCAAATCTAAAATATAAATAATACTTATCATCTTAACTTGTACAAGATACTTAGTTGGTAGTTATAGTAACTTTTACTAATTGATGGGACAATAAATTTTTAAACAGCATCACTATAAACATGGAAAATTAATTCTTCCACTTCATGGATCGCCTAGATAGCATTATTATTGGTTGATTGAATCGAGCAGGATTTATATTTACTTTAATACATAAGTTGGGTATCATACCACAACAGGAAGATTTATTTAAGAATTTCTTATATAGATTATACAATATAAATAGGCCAGCAATGCTGAAATGAAAATAGCAATAGTCGAGGCTGAATGAGTATAAGTACTCAACATTTGTTTCCTCTGTAGCTCCGTCTGTCACTTAGTTTATGGCTTGCATCGAGCTCAGGAATATATTTCATAAGTGTTCAGTGTTCTATAATATTCATTTTGAAAAAAATCTGTTAAATTGTATGTTTGTCAAATTGATATGTTTGTCTTTAAGATGTTCACAGCGATTATCAATTATGTGGAAGGGGGCACGAATTCACCCATAATTTTTTGTTGTGCTTCTGAAAGAATGAAAATGGATGTGTCTGAGAGGAAAGTCAGGAAAGTGTTAATTTGAGAATAACAGGGTCAGAAAATCGTTTCTTATTAAGAGGCCAACAACAAGCCGTTAAAAATTGAGAAAAAGGGTTGATTTCCCGAGACGAGAACTCACTTATTTTGTAATATTTTTTGACCGGATTAGAAAATAATAAAAGATAAAAATCTAAAGAATAATGCTGTTGTTTTAGTTTTTCGAAAAAAAAATTGCAAATTGAAAATATCACGACCTAAATACTCGAAAAAAAGCATGATTTCTATCGCTCGGTACATCCAAACCCATCGCTTTTTTAAAAAAAATGAAACAAGAGCATTGTTCTAAATTTTATTATCTTTTCGAATCTTCTTGATTCACTAAAAAATATTAAGTAGTTTTTGAGATCTCGTCTCAAATTGTAAGCCCTGCAAACACGGAAATTCAAAAATTTTGGCTGCAGCGACGTGCTGCCTCTGGCGGATTTAATTTCGCACCGGGGTAAGTAAAAATTACACGACGCGAGAGGACTGCAAGGCCAGTTATTAGTTTGTGTAAATAATTATGGTGAATATATTTCATAATGAACTCAAAACGAACAAAGATAACTTTACTAGAATTCAATAAACGAAAGAGGATATCAGATAGCATAGTTAGTACGTGAAGGATAGGAATAAAATCCATCAAAAATACAAAGTTGATTTTTTTTTCAAAAAATCTCGGATACGTCGATTTTTGATTTTAGTGGCCGTTTTTTTGATGAGAATTTCATACATTTGTCAAAACTGACATACCAACAATAAACTAACATGTTTTGATTGTTAATTTGAACCAATCAGATTGGAATTACGTGATAATTTATATTAGTGTAAATTATTGCATAGTAACTAATGCGAGAACTGGTGTTTTGACAAAAAAATTTTTGATTCATGACATTTTCTCATAAAAAACAGTGTATCCACTTAAGTTCGCAGCACATGGGAAACTTTTTTATTATCAATTTTACGAAAAAAAGTTATCCTTTATAAGAGTTTCTGCTTCTTGAAAAAATTATATCAAACTATTAAAAATTGAAATAGCATGTACAGGGTGGTCAAAAAATAGAAAAATATACAGGGTATTTCCTAAGTACGGTCCGTAACTTCAGGATGTCATTCCTTACGATATTTTAACAAAAAAAGTTCCCATAAATATGTGAACTGAAATGCGTAGTTTCTGAGATACAGGGTGTCAAAGTTTTAGAAAAAATCGTTTTTTCAGCTCAAAAATTTTTCCATTTTTTTTTTTTCAATTTGGCAGGTTGATTTGTGATAACGAAAGGTTTCTTTTGACTGAAATATAACTTGCTTAATCTGAAAAAAATATCAAAGGTATAAAAAAATAGTGATGTGCCATTTTTTTTCTACTTTTACCAAAAAACCCTGCATATTTTCCTATTTTTTAATCACCCTGTACCGGGTGTTTTTTTATCTTCGATATCATTTTGATCACCTGTAACTTTTTTGTTTTTGAAGTTATCAAGGTAAACAAAAAAACAAAATGTAGGGTTAGTAGCCAAGTTTTTTTTTCCAAATTACACGTAAAACAAAACACTATCAACTTTTTGACATATAAGCCTACCTACATTATATTTTTTCAAATGGAACACCCTGTATATTATATATGTGTTCGATAGAATATCTTATTCTGATTACAATGATATAGCACACTTCATATTTTGGTCCACTCGTTTTTGACAAATCGGCAAAAATATGAAACTTTCGAAGTGAAACTTATTAGGCGGCGGTCTGATATTTGGGACGAAAATTATTGAGAGCATATAAAAATTTCATATATTTTTGCCGATTTGTCAAAAACGAGTGGAACAAAATATGAAGTGTGTTATATCATTGTAATCAGAATAATATGCTCTAACGAACACACACATAATATACCGGGTGTTCCATTTAAAAATAGTACATTAAAATACAAGCTTCATAAGACGTGATTTTATCGCACGAGCCCTATATTAGAAAACGAGCCAGAGGCGAGATTTTTAAAGGACGAGTGCGATAAAATGTCTTATGAAACGAATATTTTATACTATTTTTTCTATTCTGGTATTGTTTAATTTAAAAAAAAACAAATTTTTCTTGGAAATTTTATTCTCATATTTCCTGATTTCATGTTTAGGTTGGTAACATTACATGCCAAATATAGAATTAAGGGCGGGTATTATAAAACTACTTTGAGAGTTAACTTAAAGTTAATTTTTGAAATTACATGTAATTCAAAAAGTTAACTTTAAGTTAAAGCAGTTTTATAATGCTCGCCCTAAATCTTCTATAAAATCGAGAATGACAGTGCGATGGCCATCAGTCAGCCAGTGTTACCAACTTCCGATAAGTGAAAAAGGAGTGTCACAAAGAGCTTCTTTTCGAAACTACTTTGAGTGTCGAAAAGACTTCGATATGAAACCGAAATAAAAAAAATATCATGTAGGCTTATAAGTCAAAAAATTGATAGTGTTTTGATGTTTTGTTTCATGTGCAACTTGAAAAAAAAACTTGGCTATTAATCCTACATTTTTTTTTTGTTTACCTTGATATCTTTACAAACAAAAAAGTCACAGGTGATCAAAATGATATCAAAGATAAAAAAACACCCGGTACATGCTATTCTAAGTTTTAATAGTTTATTACTATATATTTTTTCAAGAAGCAGAAACTTTCATAAACAATAACTTTTTTTTTGTAAAATTGATAATAAAAAAGTTTCCCATATGTTGCGAACTGAAGCGGAAACACTGTACAACTCGTGCAATGGAAATATATTTTCAATTTTTGACAAATTTGCACTCATGCGTTTTTAACAGAAATTGGCACTGAAAAAGCACTGCTCCTTTTTAACTAAAAATGCATCCAGGCAAATTTCCCAAAAATTATCGACAATTTCCAATGCACTCGACATTTAGAATTTCATACATCTGTCAAAACTGACATTCCAACAATAAACTGACATGTTTTGATTGTTGATTTACGTTTTATGCGTGTATCAAATGTCAAAGTATTGAAGCAATGTCAAAAAAGAGCGAATCTCGCGCAAGTGAGAATTAGGCTTCATGCGATAATTGGCGCGACACTGGTGTTTTAACATTTTTTGACAAAAAATTTAAATTTTTGATTCATGAAATTCTCTCATAAAAGCTATTTTCGGGTTCGAAAAAAGGACGGTTCTATGTAGAGAACCTAATTAAAGTACAAAGTACACAGGTCTTGGTTGGAATCGAACCCATCAGGGTACCGGTTTGACTCGAGGTTTACAGGGTGTGAAAAAAATAGTGTACCGGACTTCGTGGGGTGATTATGGAAACTATATACTCTTTCAGAACTGTTGCGACTTTTTTTACTATCACCATTCGCCATTCGCTGTGGCATCGAAATGTATGCAAGAATACCTTTCAAGGAAAATAGTTTGCCTTTGTTCTTGAAAATAAATAAAATCCATTATTTTCATCTACCGTTTGAAGCGCTGTAACTTCTGCAGGGAGCATCTTAGGGCATATGTTCATAGAATCTAATTAAAGTTAAGTACACTGACTGGAGGTTTATAGTCACTGCTAAATTTACTTTTCATCAATTCAAATTATTCTAAAAAATATCATCACTTTCTCCGTAATTGGATGTAATTTTCCGAATTAGAATTTACTTTTTCCGAATTTGAATTTACTTTTTCCGAATTTGAATTTACTTTTTCCGAAATTAACTTTACTTTTTCTGAAATTGATTTTACTTTTTCCGAAAAAGACTTTACATTTTCCTAAATAAAAGTAACTTTTTCCGAAATTGAGGTTGAAATGGTGTAGAACGGTTCAAAACAATCGCACAGTTCATCAATCAACTAAATGACAACGGTTCAGCTATCACAAATTTCAATAATAAACTGTGCGATTGTTTTGAACCGTTCTAGAACCGTCCTTTTCTCAAACCCAAAAATAGCTAAAATACAACTCAAGCAATGGAATTTTTAATCTTGGATTAATTTCCAAGCTGGTGTCAAATGATAGTTCATGGAAAACTCAGATAAGAATGTATGATCGGTTTAGCTCGAAAATCAACCGTTCAGGTTTTACAGCCTGTCAAAGTTGCAAAAAAGTAAATTTTCAACTCTTATTATTTCCGAAACAGTTGAAGATAGGTATAGGACATGATACATAAAATAAGTTCAGAATGTAACGTAGAAATAAGAAATGAAATTTAAAAAAATCCTGTGCAGTTCACACCCGGTAGAAGTGAAACCTTCATCGAACTGCATGCATTACACACATACTAACATACACAGTGGCGTCCCCCCCTCCAAAAGACTTGAGAAAGAACGCAAATAAATATAGTTTGAAAAAACTAAAATACACGCTGAGGTGCTTTGTTCCACATTTTTCATACATTGAGCACCCCACGCTTTTTTGACAATAATTCTAATATTTTTTGTTCATTAATATTTTCTGTTTCTATTAAAAAATATTTTTCACTTTTTAGTTCAATTTACTATAAAAGCGTGTTTTTTAGTTTTTTTAAAATATATTTATTTTTCACTTTTTAGTTCGATGTATTATAAAAGCGTGTCAGCCCCAGAGATTTCCAGACTTTTCGAGACATTATCCAGACTTATTCAGAGCTTCCCAGAGTTTTCCAGAGTTTTCCAGATTCCATCCAGATTTATCCAGACTTGTACAGACTGATCCGGATTCTGGAAAATGATCCCCAGGTCTTTTGGGACCTTTTCCAGAATTTTTCCGACCTCTTCAAGAAATTTCCAGGCCTTTTCCAGACGTTTCCAGAGATTTCCAGACATTATCCAGACTTATCCAGAGCTTTCCAGAGTTTTCCAGACTGCATCCAGATTAATCCAGACTTTATCCAGATTTGTTCAGACTGATCCGGATTCTGGAAAATGATCCCCAGGTCTTTTGAGACCTTTTTCAGAAATTTTCCAACCCTTTCCAGAAATTTCCAAGTCTTTTCCAGATGTTTCCAAACTTTTCCAGACAATATCCAGACTTATCCAGAGTTTTACAGACTTTATCCAGACCTTATCCAGACTTGTACAGACTGATCCAGATTCTGGTAAATGATCCCCAGGTCTTTTGGGACCTTTGGCAGAATTTTTCCGACCCTTTCCAAAAATTTCCGGGCTCTTTCCAGACGTTTCCAGAGAATTCCAGACA